CATCAGCCAAAAAACCTTCTCAACCCTACTCCGGCAAGACTTACGGCGGTAGAGCCACCATCTCCACCGCTGCTGTGCCCTATTTCCACCCTATTGGCTAGCCCCTTCGCCACAGAGTGCATTATTTCCAACCATCACAGCAAACGCGGTCCACTGCAACCAGCATCAAGATTATGACAATTTTTTTTTATTTTATTTTTATGTCGTGGTCATATAAGGCATATTAATCCCACGAGAAGAGAAGATGGGAGGGAACTTCTTCCCTCCTCATGAAAATTCCCACGCCTAATTCACGTCTCTGCTGGATGTAAGATGCTTCACAAGAAACCGATCGGTTTTCTCCTCCCCCTCAAAAACGACCTCCTGCCCTTTCACTGCCTCCACTGGAAGGTGCCCCCTCACCTTCCAGCCCCAGCTCAGAGAAGCCCCCTAAATCACTCCTGCCCCCTCAGCAGCACACAATACCCCCTAGAGTATGCCCCCGTAGAGCCGAAGATCACCCTTTCCTCATGTCCTACCCCCTCCAGGTGAGACACCTCTCAGCCTCTCACCTCGCTGAAATCAGCATCGTCCCTTTGTCCTCTCTCCCAACCGCCTTGGCTGATCAGCCTGGCCCAAAAGAGAACAAACCCACAAACCGCCCCTACCCTCTCAAGGATCACACCTCCCACCTTGCATAACCCTCGCAGGGAGGGGCTCCAACCCTGAAGGAGAGAGTTCAATCGCCACCTATGAGCCCAAAATCCCACACTATCACAGCCAGAGATTCGAGTATGACCTCAAACATATAGCATCAAATATCGAATCAAGTATCGTGGAGAAACTAATTAACGACGAGGTCACAGATTTTCTTGGACGGAAAATTACTTCGGAAACGTACCTTTAGGAAATCAGACAATCAGAAATTAAATCAGAACACAATATTAGAACCACAACCTTCCGACATCAAAAGGTAGAAATATAGTATTGAGATTCACAACTAAAGATGTCCAAACGGACTTTCGACCCTGATTTTCAAATCCCAGGATTTGGAAAACCGATCAGAAGGGTACAATTAAGAAATCAATCATTGGGAGTAATCCTTCGTTGGGATCAGAGCAAAACTCTGAATTACGAATTCTGGATTAGGAATACTGCTCAGAATTATTAAGAAATCCTACCTAGATCATACTACTATTTTCAGATTAGAAATCTGGCTTGGAATCAGAAAAAACAGATTTCAATCAAGGATCAACTACATCCAGAAAACACCTATGATCAACAGCATCGAGAAAACTCCTACGATCAGACAAAGTACAATCATCAGTAAGAAATCATGCAAAAACAAAACGGAACTTAAAAAACTTGTAATCAGATGATCTTCATAATAATTCCTTTCCAACCCTAATCCCACACATGTCATGCCCTCTCCAACCCTAATCCCACTCATGTCATGTCCTCTTTCTCTCCCAACCTTCACTTCCTCCTTCATCGGCTTCAGAAGCATCTCAGCTGCTTGCGGCCTGCACCGCATCTACCCAGAAAGCTGAGCGATGAAGATTGTCGGACCGTGGCCAACACTTGCCTCAACATAGCCACGTAGCGAGCCCAAATCGCCGAGCCTGTCGACGACCCCTTGCTGGTAGTCCGGAGAAAAGGGGAACATCCATGGTGGCAGTCCGCCATCTCTCGTAGAAGCCCGCTGCCATCTCTCGTAGAAGCCCGCCGTTAGAACCATCACCAAAAACTAGCCCTCCCTGCCATCTCTCGCCTCCCACTTTCACCCGCCACTTCACCTGAATATTCTCAAATCACACTGACGAGCCGCACCGATGAGTCGCGAACCCCACGAGGCGCCTCCACCTGCCCCTGCCTCCTACCTCATCACCCTCCATCTCATCCTGTCGTCACCCCGCCCTCATCCCCCGCTCCTCGCTGCTTGTTCCTTCTCCCCATTGCCGCTCATCGCCACGCGCGGGAGGGACGCCGCCTGAAATCTCCGTGGCGCACCGACAAAATCGTACTGAGGGGGCGCAGCGCTCCCGGCCGCGCCGCGCCCCCGAGGCCAGTGCCAACCTCTAGGAAGAAGACCATCTGCCCAAGCTGATGTTTACAAAAACGGAAAGAAAAGACTTTTTTTTCTTTTTTTTGTTTTTGTTTAAGATCGGGGCGTGGCTGCTAGAGGAAGTGGTACGAGCAGCTTCTACCAGTAGCCCAGGCTCGGACGCTCCAATCTATTGGTGGGAAGCAGCACCTGCTGGAAGTAGGGTTCAGTGTCCCTTATACAGAATTGAGAAACGGACTTGAACTGATAAGTTTGGAAAAAGATGAGGACTGAGATAGGGACTTTATATGATAGGGCTGGATAGGATTGGGAAAGGCTGGAAAATATGAGAACTTGGCTACTGTCTGCCTCATCTGTCGCCCCAAAGATGAGAGCTTGGCTTCTCTCTGCCTCTTCAGTCGCCCTTTGGGCCACCGCCTGATTAACATGTGCCCAAGCAGACAGTATACTGTTGGGGCTCACTCCTCGCCATACCATTGCAGACCTACCAGGCCAGGGCCCGGTGGGAGGAAGAGGTGGGAGGGTTCCAGGAATTCTGAGGGGGTCAGAGTGGGATTGACGGGTCAATCTTTGTCCATTCATTAAAAGAGAGATGATATCCCCTGGCCACGTTCCCCTGGCTGTCCCCCTGTTGTCCATCCCGTACCACCCTCTGCAGCCACCCCCCCCCCTTCCCCCCCCCAAAAGAAAAAAAGACAAGAGAAAATAGAAAAGGGGAGTGGAGGACAGGAAGGAGAGAATAAGAAGAACAAATGAGAAAACCAGAAGTGACATACATATGGCAAAGAAGTTGAGAAAAAGAGAGAAAAGGAAGAGGAGAGAAGCGAACGGGAGGGAAATGGTACTAAGTATTCCATGAAGAACTGCATGATGGAAGGGTTCTTAACACGTGAACAGTGGTACACATCTTGCCATGTATGATACACTGTTTTCAGATATTAAACTGATCAGAACAGAAACTACACCTGATCTTAGCCAAAAGGCCGAGAGAGGTATGATACATTGATACACTGTTTTAAACCACGTTTCCCACCCATTTTTCTCCCATGCGGCCGGGCTCGTGCCGCAAGTTTCTGGGGTCCACATACCAGAGCACAATAGCTGGCAGTGTCAGCCAAAAGGAGGCCCTTGGCAGTTTGTTTCTTCTTGGCGCAGTGGGCGTTTCCAGTCTCAGCAAGGGAAGAGTCAAAAGAACTGGCGCTCACATGCTGCCATAACTTTCGGGGTTTGGCCGCCGGGGCAAAATGGCTGGCAGCACCTCTCTCTCTCTCTCTCTCTCTCTCTCTCTCTCTCTCTCTCTCTCTCTCTCTCTCTCTCTCTCTCTCTCAAAAGGTCCCACCCGGTTGACCCGGCATTGCAGACACAGAGATTCGACTCCTAGACCTGTGGCCTAACCCTGTACATTGAACCTGTGTGCTGAGTGAGATTCGATCCCTAGACCTACCGTGTACCCTGTACATAGGCCCAACAATCTGTGTGAGACTCGATCCCTAGGTCTGTAGATTAGGAGTTAGGTTTGTTACCGTTAGGCTTAGGAAGGTCTGTTCTAGAAGTCTCTATCTGAGTCTACTGATGCCTAGAGTCTGTCTGTAAGTCTGTAGGCTCTAGAAGGTCGTAGGTGCCTGTAGGCCAGTCCAGTGAGCAAGTAGCAGGGGTAGGGGCTGCACGTGGGGAAGGTTATGGACCCCGCGGTGGGTTCCACACGTTTTGGCCCAGAAAGCCAAACGTCTGGAAGCTTCCCTGGGCCACACGTTTTGGTCCAGGCCCACACGTTTTGAGGCAGGCCCGGGTACCTCCGAAGAAGTATAAATAAAGAGGCAGCGTCCAGCCATTCATTCATTCGACTGTGTGCCATGCGGACGAGCTGCCTTAGTATCTTGTGTGTGGAGGACTGCAGGTGCCCGGAGAAGAAGTGGGCTGTGAAGAAGACAGCGACCATAGCGAACCAGCGGGAGAGAGACACTGGCGGCCATAGCTAGGAGGAGGAAGACGACGGCGGCCATAGCCGCCCAGCTGTTGCTGCAGACAGGGTGTACAGTGTGTGTGTGTCTGTGCAGCATGGACATTCAGGGTGATCCTCGTACGTGCGTGCATGTGAGGGTGAGGAAGAGTGAGGCTGGTGGTAGAGAGTGTTCGGCGGCCATAGCCGCAAGTTGTACAGTTGTTCTGAACAGAGTTTAAGAGCAAGTTCGTTGTTGATTCTAAGTTCCCAAGTTTGGTTTGCCACCGGTTCTCATGTGTGCATGTTGTGAGCAAGTCCAGAGTCGAGTCTGATTGCATTGGTATCAGAGCTGGTACCCGTTGTCCATGCTGGTGGAGCTGCAGCAAGCGAAGAAGAAGGAAGAAGCCGCCATAGCCGGAGCTCGGCAGAGAGAGGAAGAGAGAGAAGGGGGGACGGCAGCCATAGCTGCCAAGCTCGGGAAAGGAGACGACCAGCAGGAAGAAAGAGAGAGACGCAGAGAGAAAGAAAAAGAAAGTGACGAAGAGGGAGACAAAGTCAGCCATAGCCGAAGAGAAGAAGACGAAGGTTTTGACGAAGAAGAAGGTCCACCATAGCCGGAAGGTTGGAAGGTTGACCAGGAGAGTTGACCAACGTTGACCGCGAGTTGATCAACTTTGACCGAGAGTTGACCAACGTTGACCGGGTGTTGACCAAGGGTTGACCAAGAGCATTGACCATGCATTGACCGAAGTTGACCACGATGTTGACCAGGAGCGTTGACCAGCGAGTTGACCAAGACCGTTGACCGGAGCGTCGACCCAGCTGGAGCGAGAAGATTACCGGTACCATCTCTCCAAGCCCTGGCCTATCCCCTTACCCGGTGGATGCGCACCTTCACCTTGGTCTTTGCTGACGTCAAGTCTGTCAAAGTCAGTCAGTCGTATCTCCCTGTCAGATCTGTCCAGGTCAGTAGGACTCTGTGATTGTGGTCATAGAACCATAAGTTTAGCCCGAGTTGTGAGTCAAGACCCCTCGATAGAAGTTAACCTGTTTGGTTTACGTGTTGAGGCGCGGAATTGTTGTTGATTGTGCACCGTCACCATGGTGGACCTCAGGTCTGGAACTAGTACCACCCCCTACAGCAAGGAGCAAGAGGAGAAAGCTGCCGCTATCTTGCGAGAGAGGAAGGAGAGAATGGAGAAGAGGGAACTGATAAAGCAGGCCAAGATGCTGGCCCTGCTGGAGGAGCAAGAGGCAAAGAAGAGGCAGATGGAGGAAGAGTTTAAGAAATGGACAAAGGAACAGGAGGAGAAGATGGCAGCCATACAAGCGGAGGTGGAGAAAGAAGAAGAAGAAGAAAATCAGGTGGAAGACGAAGTAGCGTTGGAAAGAAGAAGAGGTGGAATCAGCACAAGCAAGGAGGAGGAGATTGAAAAGACCACACAAGAATGGACCGCACATTTGGAGCTGGGAGAAGATAGGGAGGCCAAGTTGGTCATACCCCAAGCAGAGAGAGAGAGGCGGCGAGGAGAGACTTAGAGGCAAAAAGGGACCTAGTGAGGAGAAAGGCGAAAGAGGAGGAGCAGCAGAGGGCATGGAAGTGGTGCCTATCTCAAGAAAGAGTTAGGCGTCTGGAAGCGGCAGAAAGGGCAGAAAAAGATCTAAAGGCGGCGGAGACTAGGATGGAGAAGATCAGGGAAGAGACGGAGGTAGCCACTAAACTCAATACCCTGACCCAGAGTGTGGAATCTTTACTAATTGCACATCATGAGCAGACACAGTACATCTGCAACTTAGAAGTAAAGATACATGTGATACGTGTTGGGTTTAAAGATTTTGCGCGTGATATGATGAAGTACACGGTGGACCAGGTCCACCTGGCAATTAGTAAGACAAAAGAGTTCTGCACGGGCGCCATTGAAGGCGCCAAGTTAGCGACTCCTAAGGAAGAGGAGCCGGCCCCACCACGCCGTGAGAAAGTCAAGGTTTGTTTCCCTGAACCCTTCAGTGGAAAGAAGGGGGAAGACTTTGATAATTGGGAGGCCAACGTGCACTCCTATCTCTATTTACAGGGAGTCACGCCTGAGGACCACGTTTTGGTGGCCTTCGAGGCTCTTCGAGATGAGGCGACCAGCTTTGCTAGGTCGCTAGCCCGCGCTGCAAACTGTGATAACGATATGGTCACATATTCTCGACTAACGCCCCTCTCTAAGTTTCTGAAATCAGTCAGGGAAAGGTTTTCTGATGTGACACGGGGGCTTAAAGCCTCCGACAAGCTCCAAATGATACACACTCGCCAGTGCAGGAGTGTGCATGCGCTTAAGTCCGCTATGGACGAATTGTTTGTGGTCCATGGGCATGGAGTGACCGACGTCCAGCTCCTTAACCTCTTCTACCGTGCCCTGCCTGAGAATATTCATGGACACTTCTTCGAGAAGAAGAATCAGCAGGGCATGACTTATGATACTCTTAGTCGGGAGGCAGTAGCATTTGCCGCCCAAGCATCGCCAGTTACCACGTTCTGGCACAAGGACTTGTCAAAGGGAAAAACGTGGAAGGGACGCACCATCTCCGGCCAAATCAAGGCCAAAGATAGTCTTATACTAACAATGGAGGATCCCTACTCTGCCATTGAGTGGGGACTAGAGGAGCATGACAGCAGCGCTGGTCAGGGGAGAACCTACGCTGTTGTCGTGGCCGGAGGGAGGCCGCAAGGAGGACAAAGGTCCGGCCAGAATGGCCAGGCCCTGGGTGGCCGAGGACAGGGTGGCCAGGGGGTTGGCGGCAATGGCAACCGCCAAGCGGGAGGAAGGGGAGGTCCCCCGTCTAACCGTCCGCGTTTTAGTATGTCACCTCCCAGACAAGGATGGTGGCACCCAGGCCGGCCCGAGGGCTGACCCTGGGATGATCTGGGCATAGAGCAAAAAGTATGGCAAGAACGCATCAATAGCTCTCAGTGTGTATTCTGCGGGGACCCAGGCCATATTATAAAATTTTGTCCTAAGTATAGGGACCATGCTGCGACTGGGGCAGCAAAAGACAGCCGCCGGAAGGGGTCGCAGCTGCCCCTATCCTAGGAGTATGTGGATTTGAGCGTGCCCGCGAAGTAGAGTCTCCCACTCCACATATCTCCATGGCAGAGGTTGCAGGCCGGCGTCTAGTAGGTTGTCCAGAGACTGCTTGTGTTAGGGTCTCTCTAGACGCTTCCCTCACAGGCTTAGCTGAGGAGTTGAGAGAGAGGAGGCAAGCCTAGGCCAAGATGAAGAAGGATAGTAAGGGACAGCTGATCCTCGCAGATGTAGAGATATTTAGAGCTAGAGTAGGAGCTCTGATAGACAGTGGGGCGACGAGGAGTTATATTAGTCATCGAGTGCTGAAGAAGTTGAAGCTTAATCTGAAAGTACGACGATTAGAGGAACTTGTAGTCAGTATCCTTGTCGACAGCAGTAGGATGCGCGTTGAAGAGTACGTTGAGGGGGTCCACGCCTACTTTCGCCTCGAGAAAGATGGGAAGGTAGAGAAGGTACTGCACTCCTTGACCCTCCTCGTAGAAGAGAGTCTCCCTTTCGACATTGTCCTAGGCACAGATTGGGGAGAGGCAGCAGGAGCCACACTGCACCTTAGAGAGCACGAGGTAGGCTCCCTAGTGCATCAAGCGAAGTCAAGAAGGTCCGCGTGTTCCATGTGTCCGGGGTAGATAATCCCCTCGCCAATCGCTGCCTCAGCGCTCCAACATTCGCCAGACTTGTGTGAAAGGAGCAGCTCGAAGAGTAGGTGTTTGTAGCCTATGTTAGGCTGATTTCTGACAAACCCAAGGAAGAGGAGAAGATCCATCCTACTATAGCCAGTCTGCTGGAAGAGTACAAGGACTTATCTGAAGCACCTTCAGGAGTAGTGCCCAGACCGATCCAACACCGTATAGAGATAGAACCTGGCAGTAGAACGCCTAAGGGGGCAGTCTATAGGATGTCTCCTAAGGAGTTAGAGGAGCTTCGCAGACAGTTAGATGAGCTCCTAGAGAAAGGATGGATCAGACCTAGCTCGTCACCGTTTGGCGCACCTGTTCTGTTTGTCCCAAGGAAAGAGGGAGAATTACGCATGTGTATAGACTACAAGGGGCTGAACGCCATCACCATTAAGAATGCAGAGCCATTGCCGCGTATAGATGACCTGCTAGATCGCGTGCAGGGATGCAGGTACTACTCAAAGATAGATCTGAAATCGGGGTACCATTAGATAGAGGTGCATTCTGACGATCGGTACAAGATGGCGTTCAGAACAAGGTATGGGCATTACGAGTTCGTAGTGATGCCGTTTGGACTTACTAATGCACCGGCTACGTTTCAACGCAGCATGAACGACTTGTTTAGACCGTGGTTATATAGATTCATCGTAGTTTATTTGGACGACATCTTAGTGTTCAGCAAGACCCTCGAGGAACATGAGGGCCATCTACGACAGATTCTAAGCAAGTTGAGAGAGTCTAACTTGAAGATTAACTCGAAGAAGTGCGAATGGGCCAAGACAGAGGTCCTTTACCTAGGGCATGTACTAGACGGCGACGACGTTTGGCCTGAGAACAACAAGATTGCATGCATTAGAGATTGGCCAACTCCTAAGATGCTGATAGAGTTGCGCTCATTCTTAGGACTAGCTAACTACCATAGGAAGTTCGTCAGGAACTTCTCCACGATCGCTGCTGCCCTTCGTAGGTTGTTGAAGAAAAATACCATCTGGAAGTGGGACCAGGATTGTACGTCAACCTTAAAGAAATTAAAGAGGGCTCTAATATAGTACCCTGTCCTTAAAGTTGTAGACCCGTCACTGCCATTTGTTGTCACTACAGACGCTAGTCAGTACGACATAGGTGTTGTCCTACAGCAAGATGACGGCAACGGTTATAGACCCGTAGATTTAATGTCCGCCAGGCTGCCCTCAAAGAAAGTCGCAGCATCGACATACGAAAGGGAACTCTACGCTTTCAGGCAGGCCTAAGATCACTGGAAGCACTACCTCCTTGGGAGGCACTTCAAGGTATATTCTGATCACGAGACTCTTCGATGGCTAAAGACATAGGCGAAGATGACACCCAAGTTGACTAGATGGCCTGCTGAGATAGACCAATTTGACTTTGAGTTCAAGCCTGTAAAAGGAAAGTATAACGTGGTAGCCGATGCTCTGAGTAGGAGAGCTGATTACTTCGGCGCGATACTGCACTATCTAGACATAGGGGCCGATCTACAGCAGAAAGTAAGAGATGTCTGTGCACAAGACTCGATCTACAATGAGCTGCTGAAGAGAGTAAAGGAAGCCCCAGATAGTGAGCCACACTACCGAACCACGAACGGGCTATTGTTCGAGAAGACCAACGTCACCGATAGACTATGTGTCCCCAATAATGAAGAAATCCGTAGCCTGATTCTAGGGGAATGCCACGATACGGAAGGGCACTTCGGATGGCAGAATACCTTAGCTAACCTGATGATGTCATACACGTGGCCAGGAATAAAAGTAGACTGCATAGAGTATGTGTGCAGCTGCAAGGTGTGTCAACGTAATAAGACTACAACCAGAGCCCCTCTAGGTCTTCTTAGACCCTTGCCTATTCCATTAGGACCCGGAGATTCAGTTTCCATTGACTTCATGGATACTGGGGTCAAAAGTAGGCACGACAAGACTCGAGTCTGGTCATAGTAGATAGATTTAGCAAGTATGCAGTATTTATTCCCCTGCCTTCAGAGGCACGTACAGACTTAGTCATTAGTAAGTTTTTCGACTTCTGGGTAAGCGAGCATGGCATGCCGTTGTCCATAGTTAGTGATAGGGACACGCGATTCACTAGTCAGAATAGACATGATCTGATGAAAGTCTATGGTTCTAAGTTGTTGATGTCATCAGGACGACACCCAGAGACGAACAGCCAGACAGAGCAGATGAATAAGATCTTGCAGCAGCTACTCAGAATGTGTATTAGACCTGATCAGATAAACTGGCATGAGATGCTTCCCAAAGTACCAAGCGCCTACAATAATAGTATCCACCTAGCTACTTGCAGAACTCCTAATGAGCTACATACGTCCTTTAGGCCTAGGCGACCGTTTGAGGGACTAAACCGGGACCAGATACAGAGACTACCACCCGGCACACGAGAGTTTGTGTTGCAGCACGAGCAGGAAGTCGCTAAGGTCATAGACAATCTGAGAAAAGCCCAGCACCAGATGATAGAGCAAGCTAACAAGCACCGCCGACCTTCACAATTTCAAGTAGGTGATCTAGTCTGGGTCAAGTCGAAGGAGTTCGCACCAGAGGAAAACATCTCATAGAAGCTCTTACCTGTGTATAGAGGACCATGGCCTGTCCTAGAAATCAAAGGAGGAGAGGACGGCCCGTCATATACCATAGAGATTCCACCACACCTCCACACACACCCAGTCTTCCATCCGTCCAAGTTGTTACCTTGCACCATATCTGACAGATTCCCTTCCAGGAGTCGATGATTCCGCCAAACATGGATGGTGCATATGATATAGATCACATCGTGGAAGAGGACGTGTTCAGGACAAGAGGTCGAGGTCATCCACGGAAACAGTATAAGGTTAGGTTCGCATACCAGGAACCCGAGGACGACCGATGGTTTACAAGAATAGAGCTGCTAGAAATCGCTCCTGGCATAGTACACGCCTATGAAAGGGAAAAGAAGGGCAAAGGTCCTACCTGGAGCTAGAGTGTTCTCGGAGGACCTCGAATCTAGGACGGCGGGAGTGAAACGGTTTCACCCAGTTGACCCGACATTGCAGACACAGAGATTCAACCCCTTGACCTGTGCCCTAACCCTGTACATTGAACCTGTGTGTTGACTGAGATTCGGTCCCTAGACTTGTGCCCAAACCCTGTACATTGAGCCTATGTGCTGAGTGAGATTCGATCCCTAGACCTACCTTGTACCCTGTACATAGGCCCAACAATTTGTGTGAGACTCGATCCCTAGGTCTGTAGATTAGGAGTTAGGTTTGTTACCGTTAGGCTTAGGAAGGTCTGTTCTGGAAGTCTCTATCTGAGTCTACTGGGCCCTAGAGTCTGTCTGTAAGTCTGTAGGCTCTAGAAGGTCATAGGTCCCTGTAGGCCAGTCCAGTCAGCAAGTACCAGGGGTAGGGGCTGCACGTGGGGAAGGTTATGGACCCCGCTGTGGGTTCCACACGTTTTGGCCCAAAAGGCCAAACGTCTGGAAGCTTCCCTGGGCCACACGTTTTGGTCCAGGCCCACACGTTTTGAGGAAGGCCCGGGTACCTCTGAAGAAGTATAAATAAAGAGGCAACGTCCAGCCATTCATTCATTC